AAAGTATTTGGCTACATGGCCTATGCTCATATTAGGCAAGTCAAGGTCGAATCTAGAGCTCTGAAATGCATGTTCATGGGATATCCCGAAGGAGTCAAAGCTTATAGGCTATGGTGCCTAGAGCCAGGTCACATAAGGTGTATCACCAATCGAGATGCAATTTTCAATGAAGTTGAGATGGCCTTTAAGAAAAATGATGATGCCGACGAAGAGATGGAACAAGGAGAGATTCCTGTTAAGGTGGAGCATGTTGATGCTGAATTGCGTACCCCAAATAAAGTCGAAGCAGAAGCTGCTGCCGAAGATGATGAAACTGATAATGACTACCTGCTAGCAAGAGACATGTCGAGGAGAGTCATTAATCTACCTTAGAGACTTGGGTATGCAGATCTTATAGTTTATGCCTTAATCTTTGCAAGTGAGGTTCTCGACGAAGAACTTAGAGACTATAAGGAAGTTATGAGGAGTCAAAAGAAGATTGAATGGCTGAAGGCCATGAATGATGAGATGAAATCTCTTCATGATAACAACACCTGGGAACTGATCAAGAAACCTGCTGGAGCTACGTTAGTCAGCTGTAAATGGATTTTTAAAGTTAAGGAAGGAATCAAATGAGTGACGTCGAAAACTTACAAGGCAAGATTGATCTATAGGGATTTCACTCAGAAAGAAGGTGTCGACTTCAATGATGTGTTCTATCCTATTGTGAAGCACATATCCATTCAAATGTTGCTTGCCACGGTGGCACAGTTCGACCTTGAATTGGATCAAATGGATGTGAAGACTGCGTTCTTGTATGGTGATCTAGATGAAACAATCTTGATGAGGTAACCTGAAGGGTATGCCGAAAAGGGGAAGGAAGATTATGCGTGCAAGATGAAGAGATCCTTATATGGACTGAAATAATCTCCTCGACAGTAGAATAAGAGATTTGACAAGTTCATGGCACGCATAAGTTTCATTAGAAGTCTGTTCGACCACTGTGTTTACTTCAGATTTCAACTTGGTAATTCATTTGTTATTTTCTTGCTTTATGTGGATGATATTCTAATAGCAAGCAACAATGTCGAAGGTGTAATGAGGGTGAAGGGTGGACTCAATAAGGAGTTCGATATGAAGGATCTGGGAGCTGTGTTCAGGATTATTGGGATTGACATCCGAAGAGATAAAAAGTAGTCAAAATTATGCTTATCTCAAGAGGCGTACCTACGAAAGATTCTCGAAAAGTTTGGTATGTCGAATTAAAAGCTTGTTGTGACTCCGACAAACTCTCAATTTAAGCTGAGTATAGATCAGTGTCCTAGTACTGATGTCGAAAGAGCTTATATGAATAATATTTCATATGCTAATATAGTGGGTTCTTTGATGTATGTTATGGTTTGTACTAGACCCAACATAACATATGCAGTAAGTCTTGTAAGCAGGTACATGACAAATCCTGGAAAGGTTCACTGGCAAGCATTGAAGTGGATTTTAAGGTACATAAATTAGTTTCTGAATAGAGTCCTAATTTATGATGGAGCCTTGGGTGAAGATAGTAAAGCATAAATCGAAGGATATTTCTACTCAGATTATGCAGGTTGCATGAATTCTAGAAAATCTCTTTCTAGATATGTGTTCACTATGTTTGGCATAACAATCAGTTGGAAAACAACACTTCAGAAGGTTGTTGCCTTGTCAACCACTGAAGTGGAATATATCGCCCTAACTGAATCTGTGAAGGAAACATTGTGGCTTGAAGGTTTTGCAAAGGAGCTGAAACTTCGAAGTCAAATTGTCATTATTAAATGTGATAGTTAAAGTGTAATACACCTGTCGAAGAACTCAACCTATCATGAGCGAACCAAACACATTGATGTGAGACTACATTTAATTAGAGGGTTAATCAAGCATGGAGAAGCCTAAGTGCAGAAGGTTTCGGCAGATCATAATGCTGCTGATATGATCACCAAGACGCTGCTGAGTTGCAAGATGTTTCCACTGTATGCAGTTGATAAAGCTGCACAGAGAAAGTTAGTTCGTTTCTTGATGGTAGAGTTAGATCCAAAGTGGAGATTTGTGAGATATTGGATCGAACTCTAGTTAGCATGCCGTCGAAGTTTGCTCACATGCTATTGTCGAAGATCTACATGTTGTAGTCGAATTGTGTTCTAGTATATAGTTGTCGAATTGAGCCTTGTGTTAAGGATCCAATTATTTAAGTTAGCTGGTACCCTAAGCTAGCTTGTAATGGGTAATTGTTAAAAAGCCCATTAGTTTAGTATGTTAGGTTTTATTATAAATAACATACTAGTCTCTCATTTTATGTGTGGTGTGACAAAACCTAATTAGGGTGAGAAGGTTATTTGTTATTCTTGAGTACTTGTAATCTGTTTTATAAGAAAGTAAAGAATAACAGTTATAACCAATCACTGTTGTTCTCCTTGTTTTTCCTTAACCCTAACCCTTGTGTGTTTCTTAATCATAAATAAATCGAGTATATTTTGTTTTAAGGCATCCTAATAGTAGAGAAAAAAAGTTTGTGTGGTGCAAAGTCAAATTTTGAGAGAGCGCAAGTTCAATAAAATATTTCAAAGTTGAGACGAACTTGTGTTATTCATCATATTATATGGTTGAAACAACAATTTAATTGGGCGTCCTTTTCATATGCAGGTTAAAATTGATAACATAAATGATACACAATAAAACACAAAGATATTTAAAAGGGTCATGCTGACTAGTGCCACATTGCATTGGTTAAGAATTAAAAAAAATATATTATGTTCAGGTCATTCAATACATATAATATTCTTTAAAAAGTTGATTATTTTTCGTTTCAGGGTATTGAATATACATATATTTAAAAAACATATCTTTTTAATCTTTTAAATAATAATCAACTTATCATTTTAATTTTAACTAGTGCCTGAGGACACTCGTTAACATTTCCCTATTTAAAATATGCTTTTGTTCTAATATTTTAAAATTTATAAAAGTATAAAAAAACTAACTTTAAAATTTTAAAATTAAAAAAATATTTTATAATAGGTTAAAAATAAACGAATGATTGAAAAAGTATTCATTACATACTTAAATATATTTAAAAAATAATATTTATTTATAGAAAAAGATTAGAAGCTAGTACAAGATATAAAATTATTCAACACCTCTGAATTATTATTATTACCATTATTATCATATTTTCTTTTAATAAAGGTGATAATAAATAAAGTTTAATAAATATCAAAACATATTAAACTATAACATAATACAAAATTTGATAATTAATTAATTCATTGTTACAATGAGGATTGTATATTCAAAATTATAACAAAGAGAAAATTAAAATTTATTTATTTAACCTTTTTGTTTATTTTTAATTTAAAACATTAATATTTGTTTAATTGTTTCATCTGTGAAAAAATTCTTCTTATTTGTGGCTGTTTTTAGTTTTTTCTTGTTATTTTACTTTAAGAAATGTCAATTAATATTTTTTATAAATTCTTTTTGAAACAAACAAAAATATTTTAATTTAATTATAAAATAAAAAATTTAGATAAATTTATTTAAACAAAAAATATTTAAAAATAAAGTTAATAAATAAATAAGTTAATCGTGTAAAAATAAATAATATAAATATAGACGAACAAAATTATTAGTAAAAAAGTCAAAGATATAAACTAAATTTTGATAAAATGATAGAAAATTAAAATAGTATAGAAAGCTATAATGATCCAATAATATTTATTATTTCATACTATCCTTCATTAATTATATCAGAATCAAAGTTAATAAAATCTTTTAAAATCAATTATATCTCAATGAAATATATATTTTTTATAATTAATTAAAAATAAATACTAAAGAAAATTAATTATGATAATTTGATTCATGATTTTGCATCTTAAATTTTTTTTTATTATCATAATTTAATTGTTGATACAAATATTTTTATAAAAGAAAAAATATATTACTAATTAAATATTTTTATAAACAATTCTTTTACTATTTATATAAATATTTTTATAACTAAAAAACTTACATTATTATACATGTATTTTTATAAATTAATAAAATATTTTTAAAAGCAAAAAATATCCACGTTGATACAAATACCTTTATAAAAATAATTTATATTTATATGATTGATACAAAATTTTAATTCCATGTATATAATCTATAACTATATTATATATAAAGACATCACCTAATTTTAGTGTAATTTATTTTTATTTCAATTTTATTAAATATTAGCTTTCTTTTTTATTAATTGCTAAAAAAAAATTCTGTTTATATTTTGATCAGGCAGGACACTAGTTTTTTTAATACAACTTATATTTGTGAAAAAATGCGCCTATGGGCTATGGCACTTTATTTTTTACTAATTAAGCAATAAAAAGAAATACATGAGTCATGATTTAAGAAAGGGCTACGTCGGTAATTTTAAGGAGAAAGTAGGGGCAAACTCAAAACGCTAACACAAAAGGGTCCTCTCTTGTATAATACACTCTCAACTTTACCAACCTCAAACTTTTCTCTCTCCTCTCTCTTAAAAAAACGATTTTTTCTTTATTTTTAAAATATGAAAAAAATAGCTAGGGTTTGACCAAAAATCGCACAATCGCTCAGTGGAATTTCCACACCGATTCGGACAACTTCCCTCTCTGTCACCACCCTTCGATTCCCAAGATCCATCCTCTCCCTATAATCGTGGGTTTTTAGAGAGACAAAATCGGTGTCTACAAAGCTAGAGAGAGAAAAAAAGCAGAAAAATGTTGGATTAATCAAGCTTTTTGAATCAAAGGAAACCCGAAGATTTTGGGGTTTTCTTGGGATTTGAGGTTTTTCCTTTTGTGGGGTCTCATTGATTTTGAAAATTTTGTTTTTTTTGGGCTAGGTTTGTAGTGTGTGTGAGTGATCTGAATTGTGGGGTTGTTTATTGCCACGTGTAGCTCAATTGAAATTCTGAGTTAGTTTGTATGCATTCCGGTAATTGAAATTGAAATTCTGAGTTAGTTTGTATGCATTCCGGTGGTGGTGGCCCTGGCCGGCCGGCGGGTCGGCCGTCTACCTCGGCAGCTGCTTCGCCCTCTTCTTCGTCTTCAGCAACACAGTTAGGGTTTGAATCTTTGCAGCAACATCAGCAACAGCAGCATCAGCAACAGCAGCAACACCATCAACAACAGCAGCAGTTAGGTTCTAGACAGGTGTGAGATTTATGAGTTTTTAGCTTAATTTATGATCTTGTTTTAGTAGTAGTGTGTGCCAATGTTGCTTTTTTTGGTTAATGGGTTTTTGAATTTTATGGTGTTTTGGGAATTGGGAGTGTGTAGTGGGTGTTGGAATTTGGGTTATGCTGAAATTTCCATTTTTATTTTCTTTTTCATTTTGGGTTTTAATTATGACAACCTCTTACCTGTCTTTGTTCTGTCCTAGATTGTCGGAATTGTGGTTTCTTTATTTCAACAACAATTAATTTTCGGCTGTACCAGAATAGTCAAACTATGAGTGTGTTGTGTTAATATTTTTTATTTTTGTATAAAATGCAAATTTGATGGTAATCTTTGAATTAAACTCAGGTGCAATTATGTGATGTCATTGTCAGTTTATTCTAGTTAAGTTTCCTTTTAGTCACTATTTGGTCTTTTTTGGACTTCTTTTATGTTGATATGTGACATTTATTTTCTTATTTTAAAACGTAACTATTCTGTCTTTACTACTGTATTTATTTTCTGAAATGTTCCTGGAGTTTTCTTTAGGCATTGATGAGGCTTATGAAATGTCTAATTGATAAAACTTGAGGTTTTTGTTGTTGTATTTGTCTTGCGTTAAACATGTTTATTGATTGTAGAGCAACCAGACAAGCTGAGGTTGCAGGTGTTAAATGTGCTATTTCGTTGGCTTCTGCATATTGTTGATTTACCTTTTATTTTCTGTGCTACGTATAACTTACTATTTTACTTATTAGGAGCTAAGTCTGACGGATGTCATTAATTTCATACTTATATTGTCTTTCTTAAAATGCTGTGATCACTGATATTGGACTTATTTTCTGCGTGCTGTGACATAATGATGGTTGAGAGTTTGTTACACTTATTCTTGGTCTTGTTTATGCTTCTATGTTTTTACGTCAGTATACGGCACTGTTTGGTTTTTACTTATATATGTTGTACTTGTACCTTGCATGAGTTTCCAAGGAGTGCTCTTTCATATTTTTAAATTTCTTGTTTTTAAAATTTTGAAAAGCTGAGATAATGAATACAGATGTAAGTCTTCGAACTTGATGATCATGTTATACTTGACGGCTAGACGCAATTTTCTGTATAATATTGTCTGTCTTGAAAACAATGAAATTTGCTTTATTATCTTATCTTATGTATGTCTTGTTATTAGTGCAACCTTTCTACCAAATGATTAGTGTTATGGAACAATGACTTTTATGTAACTGTATTCAAATCAGACATTTCAACAGCAGCTGCTGAGAAAGCCAGAAGGAAATGAAGCATTTTTAGCTTATCAAGCAGGGCGACAAGGTGTATTTGGGAGTAACAGTTTCCAGCAACCCAATGCTATGCAACTGCCTCAGCAGTCTCGAAAATTCACCGATTTAGCTCAGCAACATGGTACCAATCAAGATGCTCAGCTCAGAGGTCAAAATAGCGAGCAGCAGCAAATGCTAAACCCTGTCCACCAAGCATACCTTCAATATGCTTTCCAGGCTGCGCAACAAAAGCCTGCTTTGGGAATTCATTCGCAACAGCATGCTAAGATGGGAATGTTAAACCCTGCATCTGTAAAAGATCAGGAAATGCGCATGGGAAATCTGAAAATGCAAGACATAATGGCAATGCAGGCAATGAATCAAGCTCAAGGATCGTCTTCTAGGAATTCATCTGAACACAATGTCCGTGGAGAAAAGCAGATGGAGCAAGGACAACAGATAAGACCCATTCAAACACCAGAAGCACAGCATGGCATCCAAAATGTTATGAACAGCCAGGTTGCAGTAGCTGCTCAATTGCAAGCCATGCAGGCATGGGCACGTGAGAATAATATTGATTTATCACATCCTACAAATGCACATTTAATGGCAAAGCTCATTCCACTGATGCAGTCAAGGATGGTCCTACCACCAAAGACCAGTGAGAGCAACATCGGCGCACAGTCGTCATCGGTCCCTGTTTCAAAGCAGCAGGTTAATTCTCCAGCAGTTGCAAGTGAGAGCTCCGCGCATGCTAATTCATCAAGCGACATGTCTGGGCAGTCAGGTTCTTCGAAAGCCAGGCAGACAGTTCCTCCCAGCCATCTCGGTTCAACGGCAAATGCTGCTACAGGTGGTCAGTCCAGCGACATGGTCATGCAGCAATTCAATGTTCATGGTAAAGAGTCTCAAGCTCCTCTGAGGCAACAAGTAAAAGCTGGAAATGGAATGCCCTCTTATCATTCTCAACAATCCTCTGCAACCATGAACTTAGGTGCAGACCATCATTTGAATGCAAAAGGTTCATCTTCTGGGGCAGAACCTCCTCAAACGCAGTACACCAGGCAGTTAAACCAATCTACGACACAGGCCGGAGGCCCAACAAAAGAAGGGGGTTCGGGAAATTATGCTAAATCTCAAGGGGCCCCAGCTCAGATGCCTGAGCGACAAAATGGATTTACAAAACAACAGCTACATGTTCTTAAAGCACAGATACTAGCATTTAGGCGGTTAAAGGTTGCATTTCCAAGTCTTTTCTCTTTATCTCCATCCGTCTAATTCCATCAACTATCTGCACTTGTGTTATGTATATATATACTTCCAGCACAGATGTGCTATATGTATTCTTAATCATGCTAATTATTTCTATTTTGGTTTATAGAAAGGAGAAGGTACTCTGCCTCAAGAACTTCTTCAAGCTATCACTCCACCACCTCTTGAGTTGCAGGCAAAACAACCAAACCATCCTGCAGGAGGACAGAATCAAGTCAAATCTTCTGGAAATATTGTGCCAGAACAACCACGGCATGTTGAAGCCAATGAATCACAATCTAATCCTGCTGTTAATGGACCCAGTTCTGTAAAGCAGGAATCCTTTTCAAGAGATGAGAAATCTGCTCTGCCACCAGTTCATATTCAAGCTGTTGTGCCGTCTGTATCAAAAGAATCTGCTTCAACATCATCTGCTGGAAAGGAAGAGCAGAAACCAATTGGATCCTCTATTAAGCCAAAGCAGGACAGTGAACATGGAAATAACAGTACTCCTGTTAGAAATGAGTTGGCATTAGATAGGGGAAAGGCAATTGCACCACAAGCCTCTGTATCTGACACAATGCAAATTACAAAACCGGGACAGGCTAACACTGTTTCTCAGCCAAAGGATGTGGGGCCAACCAGAAAATATCATGGACCCCTGTTTGATTTTCCGTTCTTCACTAGGAAACATGACTCTTTTGGGTCATCTATGATGGTAAACAACAGCAATAATTTATCACTGGCATATGATGTCAAAGATCTTCTTTGTGAGGAAGGCATAGAAGTACTTAGCAAGAAGCGAACAGAAAATTTAAAGAAGATTGAAGGTTTACTGGCTGTTAACTTAGAGAGGAAACGAATTAGGCCCGATCTTGTGTTGAGACTGCAAATTGAAGAGAAAAAGCTTCGCCTTTTAGATCTTCAGGCTCGTTTGAGGGATGAGATTGATCAGCAGCAACAAGAGATAATGGCTATGCCAGATAGGCCATATCGGAAGTTTGTTAGGTTGTGTGAACGCCAGCGTGTGGAACTTGTTAGGCAAGTGCAGGCGTCTCAAAAGGCTGCTAGGGAGAAGCAACTGAAATCTATATTTCTATGGCGGAAGAAACTTCTTGAGGCACACTGGGCAATTCGTGATGCCCGTACTGCCCGCAACAGGGGGGTGGCCAAATATCATGAGAGGATGTTGCGGGAATTCTCAAAACATAAAGATGACGACAGAAATAGAAGGATGGAAGCCCTAAAAAACAATGATGTTGACAGATATAGGGAGATGTTGCTGGAGCAGCAGACTAGCATTCCGGGCGATGCTGCAGAGAGATATGAAGTTCTTTCATCTTTCTTATCACAGACTGAGGAGTATCTACATAAATTAGGAAGTAAGATAACAGCTGCCAAAAATCAACAAGAAGTGGAAGAGGCAGCAAAAGCAGCTGCTGGTGCTGCACGTTTGCAGGCACGTTTCATTAACCCCTGCCCTCACTGATCCAATATTTTGAAAAAAAGTGTTTGTTAAATCCCCTTTTTTCTATGCATATTATTTTGAGGATTCTGATTTTTTCCTATATAAACCTGTTCTATAAGATCATTTGCATGTCTCTGATTCATTATTTGTTTTTGACCATAGGGTCTTTCCGAAGAAGAAGTCAGAGCTGCTGCTGCTTGTGCAGGAGAGGAAGTGATGATTAGGAACCGTTTTCTGGAGATGAATGCTCCCAGAGACAGTTCATCTGTCAACAAGTGAGTTTTTGTTGATTTAGTTTTAATATTTATTTATGTTTTGCGTTTTTACTCAAAAATGCTCTAGGGAAGGTGTTATTGTGATGGAATTTTTATGCAAAATGTATTTATGTATTTTTTTCTGTGCATTTTGATTTATATACCCTGATCATGTTTATATAACTGTTTTTAAAACTGAATTTAATTTTCTACATTCCAGGTATTACAACCTCGCACATGCGGTGAATGAAATGGTCATAAGACAACCATCCTTGTTACGAGCTGGAACATTGAGAGACTATCAGCTTGTAGGTTGCTACATTATTGAAATAGTTATTCTTTAAGTGATTGCCTTATGTTGTATTCTTGAGCAAGTTTTCAAGGCTGACACTTTTTTTTTAATAAGGTTGGATTGCAATGGATGCTTTCTTTGTACAACAACAAATTAAACGGAATTTTAGCTGATGAGATGGGTCTTGGTAAAACTGTACAGGTTAGCCTTATTTTTTTATTGCTCTTCTCTTCCTTAGATTGCAAAAAATATATATCATAATCTTTTATGGCAGCTTAGTGATTTCATATTTCCTAGTTAAGTCCAGTGTGTCTTACATGGGAGATGTAAAATGTTCATCTGTTTTTTAAGGGTATCGTATGATAATTTACCCCAATAATTTTTAACCTTACATATTTATTTTTCCTTCCCTAGGTTATGGCATTGATTGCATACTTGATGGAATTCAAAGGAAACTATGGTCCACATCTTATAATTGTCCCAAATGCTGTTATGGTTAACTGGAAGGTGAGTTTCTAAACTTATTCATTTGATTAATATTACTGTTTTGTAATTTTTTAACTAGAAAAATCATCTTTATTGTGCAGAGTGAGTTATATAAGTGGTTACCATCTGTGTCATGCATTTTTTATGCTGGAGGGAAAGATTATCGATCGAAATTATTTCATCAAGTAAGTGCGCCTCAAGTTATTCACAGATACCCTTAATGTAGAAAGTAACGGGAAAGTTACTATAATGTTTATCAACACAGTCTGAGACCGTTTATAGAGCAGAAGTTACTATAAATTGATGTTGTCCCAATCATTAGGACTATTAATGGTCTGAAATAAATCAATACAAATTGTACTAAAATCAAATAGGAACTAATAAGATAAAATAAAATTATGGAGAATAAAATCATCTCTCCTAATTCTGAGTATAATTTTGTTAATTACTGCCTAATTTCTTTTCTACATTTACAATAGGTTTCTGCTCTGAAGTTTAATGTCCTGGTGACTACTTATGAGTTCATCATGTATGACCGGGCAAAACTTTCAAAAATTGATTGGAAGTATATTGTGATTGATGAAGCACAAAGAATGAAGGATAGAGATTCAGTTTTAGCACGTGACCTTGATAGGTATCGTTGTCAAAGACGTCTGCTTTTGACAGGCACACCGTTGCAGGTCTGTTTTCTTTTGATACAACATACTGCACTATTGTGAACAAATAGTGTCTGTTACTGCATATACTTTTATTTCTTTTATGCACTACTTGGATCAAACAATACCATTTCTGACCATCAACTGTACAGTTTTTAATCTTTTTGGTCATCCTTATTTGTTGGAGTTATGTAAATTAAATTGTAGGGTCAAAATTAAAAATGATAAACATAAAGGTGTTCTAAGACCCTATACAGAAAATTTTCAATCTGGTCTCTATACTTAAAAGTAACTCCATGCAAATATTAGTGTCATAACAGACATGGCTTTACCTATTACTTTTCTTGGTTGCTCTCTACCCCAAATTATTAGATATTCTTAATGGAGTTTGTTTCAAGTACTAATGGTGTCGAGTACACGTACTTTTTTGCTTACATTTAATTCCAAAGGGAATAAGTGCTAATTGATAAGTCATATAGAATCTATAGATACTTGACACAATGTATGTTGATGGGATTGGTTGTGGTGTGATTTTATTTGCAGAATGATTTGAAGGAACTCTGGTCACTTTTAAATTTACTTCTCCCTGAGGTTTTTGATAATAAGAAAGCCTTTCATGATTGGTTCTCAAAACCATTTCAAAAAGAAGGTCCTACTCAAAATGCAGAGGACGATTGGCTCGAGACAGAGAAAAAAGTCATCACAATCCATCGACTTCATCAGATTCTTGAGCCTTTCATGCTCAGGCGCCGTGTTGAAGATGTTGAAGGCTCACTACCACCAAAGGTGTGATTATAGCCCTCTAACTATACTTGACCATTTGTTCTATTTTTTGTGGCTAATACCTAGTATTATTACTGCATTGCAGGACTCCATAGTTTTACGATGTAAAATGTCATCTGTACAGAGTGCTATTTACGACTGGGTCAAATCAACTGGTACTCTTCGTCTTGATCCCGAGGATGAGGAACGTAAGCTTCAGAGGAATCCTAACTACCAGGTGAAACAGTATAAAACTTTAAACAACAGATGCATGGAGCTGAGGAAAACATGCAATCATCCGTTGCTTAATTATCCATTCTTCAGTGACTTATCTAAAGAGTTCATTGTAAAATCTTGTGGAAAATTGTGGATCCTGGATAGGATCCTCATAAAACTTCAAAGAACCGGACATCGAGTTCTACTTTTCAGTACCATGACTAAACTTCTTGACATCTTGGAAGAATACCTGCAGTGGCGAAGACTCGTGTACAGAAGAATTGATGGAACAACTAGTTTGGAAGACCGTGAATCAGCTATAAATGACTTCAATGGCCCTGATTCAGACTGTTTCATCTTCTTGCTTAGCATTCGAGCTGCTGGGAGAGGCCTTAACCTTCAGTCTGCTGACACAGTTGTTATTTATGATCCTGATCCAAATCCTAAAAATGAGGAGCAGGCTGTTGCCAGAGCTCATCGTATTGGACAGAAAAGACCAGTCAAGGTTATCTACATGGAAGCAGTTGTCGACAAAATCCCTAGTCATCAGAAGGAAGATGAAATGAGAGGTGGAGGCACTGTTGATTTGGAGGATGAACTTGTAGGCAAGGATCGCTACATAGGATCTATTGAGGGCCTCATAAGAAACAATATTCAGCAATATAAGATAGATATGGCTGATGAGGTAATTAATGCTGGGCGTTTCGATCAAAGAACAACACATGAAGAAAGGCGTTTGACTTTGGAGACATTATTACACGATGAAGAGAGGTATCAAGAAACTGTCCATGATGTGCCGTCACTGCAGGAGGTAAATCGCATGATTGCTAGGAGTGAGGAGGAAGTGGAACTGTTCGATCAAATGGATGATGAACTAGATTGGGTTGAGGATATGACACGGTATGATCATGTGCCTAAATGGATTCGTGCCAATACAAAAGAAGTTAATACTGCTGTTGCTGCTTTATCAAAAAGACCATTAAAGAAAAGTTTATTGGCTGGTAGTGTTGCCGTGGATACAAGTGAACTTGGTTCAGAAAGAAAAAGAGGAAGACCCAAAAAACATACTAGTTATAAAGAACTGGAAGATGAAGATTTGGAATACTCTGAAGCAAGCTTTGAAGAAAGAAATGGGTCTGCAAACGAAGAAGGTGAGGTAGGAGATTTGGACGATGATGGGTATAGTGGAGCTGATGGAGCTCAGCCCATCGATAAAGATCAGATGGAAGATGGTCTGTGTGATGGTGGATATGAGTTTTCTCAATCTTTAGAAATTGCCAGGAATAATCAGGCGGTTCAAGAAGCTGGTTCCTCTGGATCGTCCTCTGACAGTAAAAAAGTGACACAGATAGTATCACCATCAATTTCCTCTCAGAAATTTGGTTCCCTGTCAGCATTAGATGCCCGGCCAGGTTCCATTTCAAAAAGGATGGTATGTTGCTTCACTTGTATTTTTAATTTTTTTTTCGTGGTGGTTTTCTATCTTATTCTGATTACATTGTGATAAATTTCCCCAGACAGATGAGTTAGAGGAAGGGGAAATTGCAATATCTGTTGATTCTCACATGGAGCATCAACAGTCTGGAAGTTGGATTCATGATCGTGATGAAGGTGAGGATGAACAAGTTTTGCAGAAACCAAAGATTAAACGCAAACGTAGTCTTCGTGTTCGACCCCGTCATGCCACTGAAAGACCTGAAGAAAAGTCTGGTAGTGAAATGCTACCTCGTTTGTCAGTCCAAGCAGACCGTAAATATCAAGCACAGCTGAGGACTGACCAAGAATCAAAATCACACATAGATTCAAATGCCAGCAGGAATGATCAAAACACTTCATTAAAAAATAAGCGAACTTTACCTTCAAGGCGGGTTGCTAATACATCTAAATTACATGGCTCACCAAAGCCTACTCGTTTGAATACCATATCTGCTCCTTCAGAGGATGGTGGCGAACATTCTAGGGAAAGCTGGGAGGGGAAGCCTATCAATTCAAGTGGATCCTCTGCTCATGGCTCTAGGATGACAGAAATCATCCAGAGAAGGGTATGTGTCGTTAATTGAATGATCTTTTTATTTTCTTCTACGGTGGCGGTCTTGTGTTTTCCTGGATAAAGTGTGTCTGTTGCATGTCTTATAATGACTAGAAGCAGTGATACTTATTCTTTTCTCGATTTACAACATCAGTAATATGACAAAAAAAGCTTGCCAATTAAGGGTGTAAAAGCCCAATAATATTTTTTACTTGTTGAAATCCTGAAAATATTATTTACTATGTTAATTTTCACTTTTCACAGACTGTCTGAGTGTCTGTTGGCTGTATTAAATTAACTGCACTTCTCGTTACGAGATGTTCCATTTTGCGGTCTTGTTTGCTAGTACTGTTACCGTTTGAACTCATACAATTAGTACACTTGCAGTGCAAAAATGTAATTAGCAAGCTCCAGAGGAGAATAGACAAGGAAGGCCATCAAATTGTACCTCTATTAACAGATCTGTGGAAAAGGATTGAGAATTCTGGGTTAAGTGGTGGGTCTGGGAATAACCTGTTGGATCTACGGAAGATTGATCAGCGGATTGATAAATTGGAGTACACTGGAGCCACAGATCTTGTATTTGATGTGCAATTCATGTTAAAGAGCGCAATGCATTATTACGGTTTTTCCCTTGAGGTAAGATTTCTTATGTGTATCATCATACAAAATGGCTCACTTTTATGGCTTTGTTTAATACATCATTATTTTCAGGTAAGAACTGAAGCAAGGAAGGTTCATGATCTCTTTTTTGATATACTGAAAATTGCATTTCCTGATACCGACTTCCGAGACGCAAGAAGTGCACTATCTTTTGCTGGTCCAGTTTCTGCCTCAACCACGGTATCATCTCCAAGGCAAGTGGCTGTTGGGCAAGGCAAGAGGCACAAGCTGATGAACGAGGTGGAACCCGATTCTCACCCTTCACAGAGACCACTGCAACGTGGATCAGCTTCTAGCGGAGAAAACAGTAGGATTAGAGTCCGTATGCCACCAAAGGAATCAAAAACCGGAAATGCTAGCGGCAGTAACATACGAGAGCAACCTCGGCCGCAGGATGATTCTCCACCACTACTTACTCATCCAGGTGAACTAGTCGTGTGCAAGAAAAGAAGAAACGAGAGGGAGAAATCAACGGTGAAGACTAGGACTGGTCCTGTTTCGCCGTCTATGAGAAGTCCGGGGGCAGGTTCAGTCCCCAAAGACAGATTAACTCAACAGACTCAAGGATGGGTTGGGCAACCATCTCAACAACCAAATGGGTCAGTTGGGTGGGCTAATCCTGTAAAGAGGCTAAGAACAGATTCTGGGAAGAGGAGACCAAGTCATATGTAAGATGGTATATATAATAATAATAATAGACTTATTGTTGCTAGCTTCAGCAAGAGCTTTAGTGGCACTTGATAGAGTTTACCATCATACTGTTAATATAGATTTAGGTAACTTGAATGTGTTAAATGTAAGCTGTTCTCCATTTTTTGGGGTTATGATGTCTGCATCTTGCAGATGCAGGTGCTACTTTTCTTGTAGGTGGCTGAAACTATTGTATAGTAAATCCTTGGTTCATGTAGTCTGAAAAATTTATCTTGCAAGGTCCTCTTGTTGGAGTTCTTCCAAAATGTTAGGGACAAAAGCTACATATTTTATTTGTTAACAAACTAGATACTGCAAATTGTTATTATAAATGCTTTCAATTTCTTTTCGTTTTGATTATAATCATGATATAATATGAAGCTATGATGCATAGGTATTAGGTCCTGATACTCGGTGTGGGTATTGGTACGGAATACAACATTTATAAAAAACGGATGCGTGCGGAGATATTTTTAGGGTTTCATTTCACCAAGGGTTTGTAAGAAGGTATAAGATGTGAAAAGAAATTTTCCTTTCATGATGATGAAAGTTTCGGGAGGATATCACATACAATCACCCATGGTATTTGTCTAAGAAAGTGAGTGTGTCCTTTGACATTTTCCAATAAAACTCTTTGTTGTAAGAGTGACACTTATGACTTTCAAAACACAAGACCTAGAGGGCCCTAAAAACACATGCTGGAGATCCAATTGTGATTCCTGGAGAGGATACCACAATAGGTAGCAGTGGCACTGCTAGGAGGAGATTGAAAAGTTAGGAAGAAATTTTTAAGGGCTTATCTCAATGAAGATTATGTTAGATACTTGAACTTGTGATGATATTTTGAAGACTAAGCTAGTTTTATATTTTATCATGTCATGTATTATGGTTTATTTTGGATATTTTATCAGCATTATGCTGTATTTTGTCCATGTAATGTCATAATTAATTGGTGTTGTATCAGCACTATATAAAACAACTTGTTTCTAATGTCATGAATGAATCATTATTGTATGTTGATTGGAAATATTTTAAAATTGTGGTAGAAATTACTATCAATTTGTATTTAAATGTTGTATGACAATGACAATGTTGTTTGGTAACGAAGGTTAATGATGGAAATTAGGCCATACTCTGTCAACAATTAGGCTAAAGTTTATACCATGACAGCTAAATCAAATTAGGCCAAATATAGTTCATACTATGTCAAAAATTTAATAAAATGGTAAAAATTAGGCAACATTAAACTATATTTCATTAACAATAATGGTTTTTACATTTTGGTGGATGTAGTGCAAATTAAAGCTTATAGCAAAATTACATTACATTAACATGGAAAACCTTCTTGCAATGGTAGACACCATACAAGCTTGACACCAACACACCATTCCTAGAGTGCTTTTCAGAAATGTGGATGACATGGACACATGTTTGGTTCTCATTGACTTGAAAGAAGGAATAGAATATCATAGTTATCCAAAACCATCCTTGCCAAACATATTTTGACTGATGGATAAAGGTGCCCCTACCAAATTGTAATCTTGATTGATAGTACTATAATGTAAAATGGATTTCTCTTGTTTCACAATCACTCACGACAAGACTTCTTCAAGTAATAGTTAGGTGAAAAATAAATCAAATTATTTGTCTCAATCCTAGCATTGACCAGAATCTTTTTCATGCACACATAAGCACAACCCTCTTGTCTTTTTTCTCCCCAAAGATAACATTGGCTATGGCTAAAATATGATTTTTCTTTAAAGGATTATAGATTCTCTCACACATGTGACAATTCTATTGGAGAAATATAAATATACAAATTGAAATATCATATCCTTTTAATTGTTTATAATAAATAAAAGAAGTAGCAATACAAAACAAAGCTTCATGTTTATCTTCAGTATAAAAAGAATGTTGAAACCAATTTTTCTTTTTAATACTTAGAAAGTTTTAGTGATTGAATTAAAGACAAAAAAAAAAAGTTAAAACTTAAATAGTAGTAGCAAATCATCCACAACATGAGTAACTGAATATTTGCAACCGAGTTTGAGACTAATATGCGAACTTTATCTTTGTAATAACCTTGAAAAATAATGGGTAGTTTAGTTCACAAATTGTATAATGCTTACCAAATATAGTTGAGTCAAATAAAAGTTCAATATGGATGAATGGAGGAAAGTAACACATAGAAAACACAAGTCTGAAAGAAACCTCAGATGGGATGCGGAGGAAAAGGGTTTAAGAAAATCACTACATTATTCTTTATTGAGATCGTTGAAAATTTTACATTTTAGAGCAAAAGAACTAAGACCGTCTTTAAGAACGTACAAGGCAGACTATCGCACAAAGCATCAAATTTGTTAAAGTTAACTCATAGTTTAATAGGATCTTATAAAATATTTATAGTGATTAAAATGTGGTTAGATAGAGTCTAAATTTATTTTACATAATTAAACTAGTATTAATCTACATAGGGTCTCTGAAAAAATTGAGACGACTTTGAAAAGAAATGTATACGATCTTCAAGGATCATGGAAAAGTATCAAAGTAGAGGAAGTGGTGATTCCTCGAAGAGAAATAAGTGAGGAAAAAGACATGGATTTACCAATTTATCAATGTGCTATATGAAAGAGTTTTTGCCATTAAACTAGACAACATCGTCATTGGAGTAGGAAAATCTATGCCAACCTACCAAAATATCAAAGGAAAAGCCACAAAACAATGCATCAAAAGGAAGCAAAAGCAAAAGAAGATCTGACAAGATTTAAGGAGTTCTTGGGAGTAGTGGAGAATCCGAGAATGACTACAACATCCAAGAAACATTTAATATAAAGGGGTAATTCCAAATAAAGGTCACTCCTCTAGGAGAAAACTTATGCTTGTTGAAGGAAAGGTAATAAGTTGGATTGAAAACATTAGTTATGGAAGCTAGAGATTGGTTAGGGTAATGATTCTCATAGGTCAGAGAATGGCAGCCTGAAGATGCGCATAATGAAAGGGTAACACAAATTAGATGTTGTGGGATCTCTTGTCATGCTTGGTCTCCATTTTTTTAATTCATAATGTCACTGGTGGGGGTGTATGTTTTCTTAGATGAAGAAACAAGTAAACAATAAAAAATGGACGTACTCCGAGTTATGATTAGAACAAAATATAATTTAGTGCTTAATAATACCTTTACTGTGCACATAAACAAAAAGGTCACTACTACGGAAAACATATACAACAACGGTCGAAAAAGGGATAACATCACGCATGACTTACCATTGTCACGTAGGGTGTAGTTGTATACGCGCTACTTACAATCACGGTCTTATGACCGTTTTGGAAAGCCTGAATGTTTTGATATATTATCACAGTTAATAATTCAATCGTTGTTATATATAAAAGGTTCCAGGTTCAAATCCCAGCGCATTTTAAGTATATAACCAGGTTAATAATTAAACCGTTGTCATATATAAGAAGGTTCGACTAAATGTTAAAGAAATAAAACATTTGACACGCCAGTATATTACAATTTAAAATATTTAAAACAAGTCATAATGGTTCATTTATGCAATCATGGTGGTATCAAATGTTAAAGAAATGTTAAAAACACAAAGGCGCGACTAAATGTTAAAGAAATAAAACATATGAGGGTGCTGAGATTCGAACCCATGAAAGGGTAATTATATAACCGCGGTCTTATGTTTCATCCGTTATTATATCATATCAAAATTTTCATAAGTAAATAAAAGAAAATTATCGCGCGTTAATTAAGACATATAATCACGGTGAAGGCCTAACCGTAGTAGAATTAGTGTTACCGAATGTGTATTCCATAGTAGTGGGTGTTTAGGGTCAAAATAATTGTAATGCTAAAGTTCAAGGAGAATAGAGAAAGCCAAGTCAATTAAGAGTTTAGTTCAGAGCATGACTCAGGCGAGTGGGAAGAGGAAACAGATGAGTTCGACATCGAAAGTGACTTTGTTGGAGGTTCCCATAACAATATCACTGATGGGGATATTGGGAATGAGGATAATATGGAAAAGGTTATAAAGGTATTCAGATATAAAAGGAAGATAATCATAGACTATAAAAGTGGAAGAAGCTATTACACAAGGGATCAAATTAATCAAATAGTGACCAACAAGAAAATAAGACAAAAAGGATCAAAGAGTTGTGGCTAATTGCAATTGAAAGTGGAAAAAACAAAAAGTCAGCAGGTCAAACCATTCACATTGATACTTTTGTATGTAGGGATAAAGGATTTAACCTAACACCCTCCCAGTTAGACGTAACACCCACCAAAGTGTATGAAAAGTCAATACTGACCCTGCAAAATTATTTTCAAAAATTTCAAAATTTACAGTGTTGGGGTCGAATTTTGAAATCTCTGGAGCGATACCATAAATTTCGAGCAAGCTACTAGAAATTTCAAAAATAGTGAGTTTTTTCATGGGAAATTTCAAAATTTCCTGTATTTACATTTAAATATGTACCAGAAATTTCAAAATTTCCGGTACAAATCTCATTCCTTATAACAGAAATTTCAAAATTTTCAGTAGTTACAAAAACCTGGTTTTGTACCAGAAATTATGAAATTTCCGATATATTCCTTGATTTTGGTACCGGAAATTTTGAAATTTCCAGTAGTTGCCAATTCTTTTTTGTTTTGATTTTTTTTCTACTTTTGCAGTGAAATCTAGAGGCAAAGACGTCACTATTTCAGGGAGAGTTGTTAATCGAGCGACATATTAGAGTAGGGCTGCCAAGGGTGCTAATGTTGAGTCTTCCCAGATACGAGCAGGACGAGTGGCTCCAACTGGTTCACATCAGAAGCGGTTGGATGAGAGGGGTCAGTTTCGGGGACCTCGTCCCCCTGGACGCCGACCGGTTCGATTAGTAGAGCAGTCTATAGATGAGGTGGTGCCAGATGTTGCTGTATCTAATCTTGTGGATCATTCGATGGTTGATCAGGTTGTTGATACAATTATTGAGCC